CAGCAGGTTTCAAACCATTACAGCTGGGGAAGGGGCTTGGTGGGACAGTGCTCACTGGGGTCTCCCTGCAGCCTCCGGCCCCTGGACGTGGAGTTCATGAGAGCCCTGCACCAGCGGGTGAACATTGTGCCTGTGCTGGCCAAGGCTGACACCCTGACCCCCGACGAGGTGGAGCGCATGAAGAACAAGGTAAGGGGAGGGTGGCCCAGTCCAGCCAGGAGCCATCCCAGTGGGTCCCTGGGGATGGGGGTGTCCTGGAGGCTGGGGTCCATGCTTGCATAGGGGGGGTCTCTCCAGCCCCTGTGTGGGCTTTGCCATGGAGCATTCTCCAAGCTCACAGCACTGTAGAGGACCACACTGCCCACATGGCCACCAAGGACGTGGCTCCCTGGTGCTCAGCTGGGGGCTAGAAGGGTGGGGGAGGCTGTCCCTGACATCTCATCTGGGGCTCCTGCAGGGGATAGGGTCTTGTGGGTCCTGGGGGTACACCAGGGCTGTGTGGTGCTTCCCACCCCACTCCCGAGGGCCAGAGCCCTGCCCTCAGTGGGGCTGTCTGCCCCCAGATCCGGGAGGAGATTGACCACTACGGCATCCGCATCTACCAGTTCCCCGAGTGCGACTCGGACGAGGATGAGGAGTTCAAGCTGCAGGACCAGGCGCTGAAGGTGGGTCACAGAATCACAGAAGGCTTTGGGTTGGAAGGGACCTTTAAAGGCCATCTAGTCCAACCCCTCTGCAAAGGGTTGGGGTCCTTCAGCTCCATCCTTGAGGGGGAAGAGCCCCAGGACCAAGAGGACATGTTATCATGGGGTACCCCTGGGGCCACGCAAGCCATCATGGTGGGGTTAGTAACTGTTGCACCACCTGGGCATGTCACCAAGACCCCACTGATGCCACCTACATCTGGGTGGGATGGGGCTGGGGTGGAGAAACCCATGTCACGACTGCTGCCCTCCCACCCAGGTCCTCCATAGCTCCTGGGTCTCTTGGCAGATGGGTGCTGGGTATGGCCAAGGGTCCGTATGGAGGGCGGTGGGCCATGGCGAGCAGAACCAAGCCCTCGCTGACCCCTGCTGTCCTCCTGCAGGAGAGCATCCCCTTTGCTGTCATTGGCAGCAACACGGTCGTGGAGGCCAAGGGCCGGCGGGGGCGCGGGGCCCGCTC